GGATGATGATGATGAGGATGATGATGATGATGAGGAGGAGGAGGAGGGGGATGATGACGATGAGGATGAGGATGAGGATGATGATGAGGATGATAATGATGATGATGATGCTGGTGGTGATGATGATGATGCTAGGCCAGTGCTTGGTGCGTTTTTGGTTCCTGTTCCTTCATGTTTCTTCTCTGTATGGTCCAAAGACGAAGGCCCTTGCTCTTGCTGGCACTGTAACCAATCTGTAAACAAAACGGGCTTCCTTCGGCTGTATATTGAAGGTGTCAAAACCTGGCGTCGTTGGAAACCAAGGACATGGGTGAGCCATTCGTCACATGCTACACTGGGTGAGCTGAAATCACCTCTCCAACACCAAACAATACCGGATATAATATGGACAAATATCTACACAATGTGATGGTTATGACGGTTATGATGATGACGATGATATCGACGATGATGATGGTGGTGGTGGTGGTGATGATATATGATGTTGATGTTCATGTTGAGTATGTATGATCAAGGCCATTCTCATTTGCCAAACAAAACCATTTCGGAAACAAATCTCAACAAAAATACTGTACTCAGTAGCAGGGTGATTTTTCTGCATCAGGCCTTCCTCCCCAATCCCTCCCCACTGACACGAACAGCCGAGTTCTTTGTCTTCGAAGGCACATAGTGACAAAGCTTTCCCATGTAAGCCTTCGAATCATCGGGCCAAACCTGGGCTGTTGAGACCGAACGGCGGCAGAACGGCCGTACAAACGGCCCCTTGGGTTTGATTCCGGTACGACTCATGTCCCTCTATAAGAAGGGTGGATAACGGGGCCATGTCCAGCTTCCATGAATGACAAACAGTATATATCCTTTAAGACAAATAATACAGACTCAAGATTTCAGGTCAGGGGGTATTGAGCCTCCTCGCGTCAGTGTGAAGTAGGGAACTATCTTAGATTATTACATGTATAAAATATATATATATAGTATTGTATCATATACAGTATATACTTTTCAAGAGATGGTCACAGGTGTGGATCAATCTCAACCTGTATTTCTGTGCACAGGAAAGGTGGGCTGTTTCTCACCAGGTCTCCATATCAAACGACTATTGGCAACCACTAATGACTAATTATTAATTCTGATGTGGTCCGTTCTCCCTGTCACTGGCCGTCTATTGAGGTGTGCCTGCTGTAACAAGAAGCTAGTGGGCATCGCTACTAGTAGCTCCTGGCATAACTACTACAAAACAAGAAACGATCCAACAAAACCTTGTTCAACACATTTCCCACAAGTCCCCATCGCACAAGTCCCCCACGGGTGGAACGATGGACCCGTGCGGACCACCAATCCCATACAGTCACAGCTGAGAATGGCCTTCGCTGAGAGTCTGTGGCCTTACAGAAGAGTATAAATACATATACCGTATACCGATACCTCTGTCACTGCACCTCTGTCACTACCTCTGTCATATATAAGTTGACACCTTACTTTGCCACAAAACACGTTCCTACGATGTTCTCCTCTATGTGTATCGAGAGAAGCTTTTCGATGCTCCTCTGAGATTCACCGGTCTGGGGTCACCGGGTGTCACAGTCCGTCGGGCATCGCGGCACCGCCGCATGTGTAGATCAAACTGGAAGTGGGGGTAGGGGTCACACAATGGGGCCAGTCTAGTAGAGGTTTGCTAAAGGTCAAACAAATGACGTGCTCCGACCTCTATGTGGTTTTATCCTTGTGGTATCTTGTGGTCGAGAAGAGGGCTCAAGTTAAGTTTCCCTAAAGATCTAGGAACCAAATCATTTGTGCGAGGGTGAGCCATCCTGCGTCAAGTGACTAGAAGCTTAAGTAGCCAGGACCAAACTTTTCCCTTACTTCATTAAGTATAGTATGCGCCTACTTAATACTTAATTAAGTAGGAGCGGGCCAAGAACAACCGATTGCCATTGCATGATTCCTTCCTGGTCGGTACCTCTTCACCAAAGAGGTACTTGCCAACAGTCCCATGAAGTGTTTCGCCAAGAGTCCCAGTGGGCTTTGGATTCGTCTGGCATGGTATGCGGGATGGCCTCATAGACACGCTGGTTCCTGAGGCAGAACTTCGGGCGGTCGGACGGAGCACTTAGAGATCATCCTTCTTTCTCCAGCCGGACAAACAGGGGAAGCAAATGGTACATCTTGGGTGAGACCTAACATGACCAACCATCCAATCAACAAATGGACGAACTAATTATGACAAACAATATACTTCTTGAGGGTTCAAACCGTGTAGCCTTGCTCCAAGCAATCTCTTACAGGGTGACCAAGAATGGCCGGACAGTGGTTTTGCATCCTTCTACATCTTGGCACTCTTCCTTCCACTGCATTGACTTGGCACCGGGATGCTCATGGTCAGTCACCGGATTCAGTGGGCAAACAGTCCTGCAAAAAAATGGGAAACATAGGGAAACATTCCCAGGAATCTGTCGTTGGGAGTCTTGGATCGTTCTCAATCCTGGTGGTCTTGATGTTGGTTGCTTTAGGTTACCAATTGAGCAAGTGGCCTATGGGAAAAACAACACTGTGCGCAACACTGAGTTTCTGTTGGGAGGACTTGGTTGAACCCTTTGTCTTTGGCCATGAAATTTGTTGAAGGTTCAGACTCGGGATGGATGGCAAAGACTTAACACTGCTAAAGTATCACATACAGTAATCATACAATCACGATGCCAAATGAACAAAAATTGCGTAGCAGGTCCGTATACGCGCTGGCCAAGCATCAATGTGTCCGGCTTGTAGTAGAGCTGCTCCATCAGCCTTGCAGCAATGGAACCCAACTGCTGTGGCTCCTGCACCTGGCGAGGCGCGCGCTCTGGTGTCACGAAGCAATAACGACCTGGTCCCTAGAACCACTCACCCAGTTGGATGTTGGTAAGATCTCAACAATGACTTCAAAACCACGAGCCATAATCCACTTTGCCGCGCTACAAGCAACAACTCTATTTTTGAGGTCGTTCTGCGGCCATCCACATCCAGTGAAAAGGGGTAACTGGGTGTACACTGGGTAACGCTACTCTGGGTGGAGGATTCCTGCGTGTGCCGTTCAATGAAATCAAAAAACATGGATCACATAGGCCAAGTGCCCAAACGATAAAGTTGTTGGGATTAATTCGTTTGTATGAGAACTAAATGTTTTCGTGGTTGTTCAATATTGTTTCGTGATTGAATCGAAGGGTCATTTTACGGACTATGTTTTTGATTCGCGGCCTCATCGCGAAGCACGGTCCTGTAACCATGTCTAGTGAACATGTGTTGGATTTATATGAGCAATCTCGCATCATGACCTACACACAAGGTTGAGAGCTTCTACAGCTACTCCGGGATCTGCACAGCAATCTTGAGGAATATCCTGGAGGCACTCCTGGAGGCTTAGTATAGAGTCCGCCATAACTCAATCCAACCCTCGTGCCACTGGAGCTTGGAGAATTTGGAGGGACGCAAGTTTGGAACTTGGACTTTAACGGCACACTCGCAATTCTTTAGCGAAAATTCAGGTCATTGCCTCACTGTCAGGGCTACGCAACGGTGACGCAGTTGCGGTTTGTGAGCACTATAAAGGCTGGGAAGGAAACGTTGAGGCTTCAGTTAGTCTGTGACAGTGGGGACATGTGGGGACACTTCCGCCCACCGGCCCTGCTGGGCCATCGCCTCGTATTTCTACCATATGTCACATATGTCGGTAGAAAGGAAAAACCGTGAAAATGAAGACCTTAAATCTTTCGCGAAAGACCATTTCGCGAACCTCATTGCGGATCTTTCGCGGATGGTCCGAGTCTGGACAGCATCTAAAAGGTCGTTGTAATAAAAAACCCTGTATAGACAACCTTTTGGATCAACTCCCACATTATTCACGATATATTGCAATCTATCTATTGCAGGTCCTTCAGGCTTCAGGCCCGCTTCGCCAGGCATATCCAGGACAGTCCAAACCGGCATCTGGGTCGGACCAAAGGTACAAGGACCATCTGTGATCGATTTTGGCTCACCATTTGAGGATTTTTCTTGTATGATTGATTTATGTAATGTGATTATATATGATTTGGTTTTCTTGGTGACTGATTCATGAAGCTTTGTTGTAGTCAGTAGTCTCTCCGTCCTTCTCTTCCTGGTGCACATCGAAATGTCAACGCGAAAGGCCATCGAGTCCCACCTCTTCGAAGTATCGCAAGGTGCGGTTCAACAAGACCAAGCACCTCGTGAGAGCACAGCACCGCTCTCTACAACGAACCCTGCGTCAGACAATGAAGTGTCGGTAACATGGCCTCGTGCAACAGGTGACCCCAAAGGGTCCCGGAAGTCTTTGACGAGACATTTGATACTTGCACACCCTGGCTGCTCCTGATACATCGGCTTACATACCACCTTGAGCTCACTTATCAACTCGCCGGATGAAGTCCATTCAACTGGGGCTGTGCAAGCTACAACATCAGGGTTCCCTGGATCTTCCCAAGGAAGCACCACATCTTGGCGCTGACCTATACACCTGCAGCTAGTGCTGAAACGTCCTCAAAGGGAAAAACACCTTTTGGACCGATGGGTCGTTTTCACTGTTTCTCCATTTAAAAATGTCTAAGGCACTTGGAGGAGTTGCCCAGGATCTCGTGGTATTCAGATCCATAGACATCACCTGAGAGTTGTTTGCCGTTTGTCATCCTTCCCACGTCAACCGTCTCAGCGGTTCACTGCTTTTATATTATGTGCAGCTGTGATTAATATTATGTGCACCCGTGATTCGCTATATAGAACGAAAAACAATTGCAAATCAATTCCAAATTCCACACCTGTTCAACTGCTTTAAAATTACTTAAATATGTTTAAATTTTTATGGTGTGGAAAATGACCACCTTGTTATTGAACATTTTACTTACAAATTTTCGCCACTGAGGTTCCTTTCTTTGCCGACCGATCCTGCTTCAGCCCTGAGTTGGTCCCTTTGACCATACACTGTTTGATTTTTGTCCGCGGTTCCTTGCTTTCGGTAGCAGTAGTTAACACGTTCGGACTCGGACCAATGTTTTATTCCTGTTGTTTTCTTTCCATCTTGACGGTTTCCATTCCTGCGGTGTACAAATATTCTATTTGTTGCTCTGGCTTGGTGCCCTCTGTTCCTGATTTGGGTCGGAACGGTTTTCTGTTCTTGCCACAGGGTTTGCATTGAACCAGGTTCCTATATACGTACCAGTTGCTTTGTGCGTTTCCTGTCGGTTGCGTTTCTGTTGCCAGCGCTGCAGATGTCAACCAGTGTTGCGCGCTCCTGCTTGTGACAGCTGTGTGTGTGTGCGTTTGCTTTCGTGTGGCGTGCCTCGTTTCGGAACACGCCAGAGAAGCAGGCTATAAGTAGGGCAGCCAGTCAGAAGAGCAGCAAGGGAAACTGTTCTTCTCAAAGGGAATCTGACAACAATTTTTTGTGACTCGCAGTTGTTTTCCATTATTCCCCACCTGCCAGGTGAGAGTTGTTAGATTTATCGGTGCTGTCCCGCTCCTCCGCCTCGTCGTCCTCCGCCCCCCCGTCAACCACAAGTGCCAGATTGCAGTGGGCATGGTGGACACCGCCTATAGGGTGCGAGATAGACTGCCAGCAAATACGAAAGATAGAATGCAAGAACGTGCTGGATAGAACGCCAGAAATACATGCCAGTCAGAATGCCAGCACATACGCCAGATGGACAGCCGAAACATATGCTGGATAGAATGTCAGAATATATGCCAAGTAGAATGCAGCACATATGCCAGATAGAGTGCCAGAATGTGCGCCAGATGGACTGCCACTATGTTTGAAAACAATGCCAGAACATACATATGTATGTGTATATGTATGCGAGATAGAATGCGAGGTTCTTTGCAAGATAGAGAGATAGAATGTCATTACATGCCATAGACCCTTCATTGTTATATAAAAGAAGTCAAGCTACAAGGCTCAGACCAGATACAATAACCTTGCCAATAGCTTAACAGTGCCTGCTTTCTGTACACTTGAGAGAGGAGGGGGTGAACGAAAGGTAGCAGGCAATCACAAGTAACCCTGGTAGAAATCCATGACGGCGTGAACCGGCGCAGGGGGGATTTGATCCAGGGGGGGCCCCCCCCCCCGACGAACAGAATCAACTCTTACAGGACCAAACTCAATGCACAATCCCAACTCCTGATTGTAATACATTTTTGCTAAAGCAAGGAGAACTCAGGTAGCTCAAGCTACCTTTCGTGATATTCAACCAGATCTTCTTCACTACCAAAATCATGATATATGATATATGATTGCTTCAGGGTTTCTCATAAACAAGATTTGGCAGAAAAGACATAGAAGTAGGATTAAGAAGGGATAATGTCAATATTCTAAAATGCATTGTTATTATTTTCGGTCAAGAAGAAAAGGAAATAGCTGATAAGGCAAGTCGGCTTTTGATTTCAGTTTTTGAGCTTCTATTTTTGCAGCTGCTATACTTTCCTTGGCAGCATCTAATGCTGTAACTCTAGCTCCCATTTAATTGAATGGAAAGGCAACTATTCCACCTCCACATCCCAAACAATTTCGTGCATAACATTTTGAACCAGGAATTATGCCTATCAAAGAAATCAAAAGCAACTTCATTGAGAGGAACGTTATATACGACCATAGCTCTGGCGCCTACATGATTATCAATATTATAGTGCCTTGGCTGATCTGGCTTAAGCATCTCTTAGATCCCTTATGCTGAGAATGGCAGGAAAGACACGTTCTTTGATGGCAGAATAATTGTCAGAAAAAATGTCAGAGCACATACCAGAACCGAAGTCGGACCGTATGACACAGCACATGTCAGGCTTCACGCAGAAAAAACAGTCAGAGCACAACAGTCCAGTTTCCCGGCCTTTATGATAGATGATGTGTCAGGGCACAAACCAGACTTGATGCCAGAACAAGTGTCAGAACATTGTGTCAATCCGCATGTCCGCGTGCCCTGCCTTCTTCCAAATCGCCTCTCAGGGCTGGGATCACTCCAAGTCCGCCCGCACCGAAGGTGCTGGGGCGTGTGTATTCGGATGGCATAGTCAATCGTAAGATTTCAGCTTAGCTGGGGGGGGCTTTTTCTTTCGGGCAAGAAACCTAGGCTTTTGAAGGTTGTTGAAAATCAAATGCAAAAATGTGTCGTAAATAACGGCATTTGATGAAGGTTTTGGGACACGCAAATTTTTGAGGCGTTCTTGAAGCAGTCAATTGTTTATTGGTTTTTGAAGATTTGGTCAAAAATAGTCAGGTAGAACCGGCATAAACACACATCAGCGGCTTCATGGTACGGCTCTAGCTGGCCAGGGGTTCGATTAGCCAGGTAGAGCCGGGACGGTGGGACACCAGTACACTGCGCTGCTGATATCACGGCAAATTAGGAAAGCAAAGAACACAGCAAAATAGTTGAAAGACTGTAGCTGGGTTCAGCTGATAGCCCTTCATGGATGTTGTTTCTGGTTTCCAAACCACGGAAATTTCCATGTAGCACCCCAGTCTCTATGACATGTTTTCCGGTGCGGGCGGACCCAGCCGCGTAGCGGCGCGAATAAAGTACATTTATTTTTTTACAGTGTATATATATATAACTATATATATATATAAATCTTCCTTTTGACGCCACTCTGGACCAGGACCTTGTCAAGTGTTTGGGCCCTTCCCTCCTTAATTGTTTAGATACCCTCAATTAGCGGGGTCTACAATGATTTATCAATCCAAAACCAACGCTTCACGAATCGCATTCAAGCCATTGGTTTGTCAGCGATGCTGGCGTCTACATGCACTTACCATGCTTTTTGGAGAAAACACCGGAAAACAACAACTGCATGCAGCCCAAGGGACTATTAAATTGGAGTGCCTTGTACAGCTCATCATCCAACTTTTCGACGAAGGAGAGGAAGAGGTCCTGCAAGAGAAGCGCATCCAAAACTACTATCAATCAGGATCCAGAACAGGATATACCGGATCCAGGCAGTCAGTAAGTCTCAGTCAAAAAACTCCTTTCCCTTCCAGCTCGTCTGAACTTCAGAGGATTCCGCCCACCCGGATGAAAAACACCCCGACCCGGTCAGCTCACCCGGTGGGCGAAGCGCGCCTGGAGTCGCGGGTGGGACTTGGGATCCTCCAAGTCTGTCTCGCCTGCGGAGTCGCTGGTCACGAGGTGCTTCTCGTTTGGTCCTTTTCTGTAACAACTGGAGCTTTTTGGGGAAACGAGGTTTCTCAATTGACCTCTGGCCCGAGGTACAGCCCGGGTTTAAGATTTTTTTGCTATGGAGGGAGAGAGTTCTTCTCATCATTCTGCATCTGGTTCACCTTGCTTTCAACTTTTCCCTCGAAAAGAATATGGCCCGGAAGATTGACCTGGGGTTTGAACATGGACTAGACTATTTTGTGTACAAGCCAAACATGATGAGATGTCTAGTCATCAAGAATAAGAACAAATCCAGACCTTCCGACCCTCCACAATTTAGTCTTCCAAAACTCCCAAGTCCATGTGTTCATTGCATGTCATGTCATCACAATTCCTGCGGCTTAAACACCTGATGATTTTCCTCCAAGTCCAGGTGCGTTCTGTGCCACATCTTGGCCCGGTCGCGTGCTCGTCCGTGCCTGCGGCCGCCTTGTCATCCCCGGTGTTGCTTTTCATCAAGTTGTACGACTCAATGAGCAAAGGGAGCATCTTGTTGACCTGAAGCATCGCTTTTCTCACCCAGGCCCAGGTGACCCAAATCCGCCAATTCAAAGGGGTTTTGCATGGTTTAGCCAGGTGCGCTGTAACATGCCATATGGCAATTCCTCGTGGTTTGCTGGACTTGTGGTTAGTAGGTCCACTTTTAGTGGGAGCCACTGATGTATAGACGCGATGATCAACAGGATCTTTGCACGTCAACTCCAGGTCAACTGTTGACCGTCAAGGGGAAGAGAGGTGCTTCCGTTACATTCTGGACGACCAATACATGGGACTGTTGTTGGTCTAAAGCTCGTCCCTCCAACAAACACTATGCATAGCGTTATTTTTGAACTTGCAGAAAATCACTGGGGTGAGTGGAATACATTAATACTTAATACTTTAGAGTCTTTAGATCCAAGCCAGTCCAAGCAAATAACAATAATTTGTTAGTTTGCTCATGTTTACCTCATCAAATTTACCCAAGTGTCAAGTCCTGCCTTGCTCCACTGGTCGCAAATAGGAGAATTGGAGTGGGTGCAATGTCCGGACTCCACCATAGTCTAACGTGGCACAAGAAACCGATGAACGCACTGCTTCCAATCTGATATAATCTGATTGGCATGAGTGTTTGCCTGAGATGAGTGACTGATCGAACAAGTTATGTAGTAATTATGTTCTTGTTGAGGGGTGTGGACACTTAAACATAGATCTGATAATCCCCGATTATGATTTCACCAGATTAACCTCCAAACCATTCTCTTTTATGGTGGGTGGGTGGGCTCCAAGCCATCGTTTCCTCCCTCACCAGTCTTGTCCCCGCAGTCGCCTTCTGAAGCGCTTCGTTCCACATCTCGATCTTCCTGAGCTCAAAGCTGATCAGCGGCTGATCGCACGACACGAGTTATGTGTCATGTTCTTTTGCCGAGCCAAGGGTCGCAAGGAGGTAAGTCCAGCTGGCTACGGCTTCAGGCCAGCTGCTTGTTGGCAAGGTCTTATTTTCTGGTGGTCAACTTGCCACTGTCGCCAAAGAGTCTAAACATGTTAAACGCTTCTTGACTCTTGACCCACTAGAGTGATGCCTCCGCCTGCCCGACACTTTTGTTCCGTGCCAAGTGGCATGGCAGCAAAGGCACTGCCAGTGTTATCAAAGTCAGCGGAAACCATGGAGGCATAGATGTAGAGCTGCTCCTCCCAACAGCACTGTGAAGCTTGCAAAAGTCAAAACCAAAGTCTAAGAGGTCCAAAATGACACTTCATAGACTCCACAGGCATCAGCAATTAGAATGTTCAATCCGATTCAATCCAAGCAACAATCAAACAATGACCATAATGTGAACAATTGTTTATCTTGCACTTGATGAGTATGACATCAGAACCTTAGTCTGGTCTCCGAGCCAGTGATGACTTTGGCCCGGTCTCATGCGGCCGGGCGACCGCGGGCGACCGGGCAACCCTCCAAGCAAATCAAAGAACGCGTTCTCTTCCCAGGCATTTCTTTCTTCTCTCGTATCATGGGACAGGGTCGATGCTGATCGTTCGCCCGTCACGCCTTCATTCAAAGAGAGATTCAAGGAGAACATGACAACAACGAATCACCCCCAGGCACTCAGAAAGAAACTGTGGTCCTAGAACCCCCACAGTCTGGAGGCCTCTTTACTTAGATGGCCAGGGTCCAAGACTTTTTGTTCATTTGTTTGCTAGTGTGTGCTTCTGTTTATTGTTTCCAGGGCACCATTGCCATAGCTCCTGACAGGAAATGTTGTTTCATTATGTGATCTCATGTTTGGAGCTGCCTGAAGGGTGACCAGGCATCATGCCGAATAGTGAGTCGCACCATTGGCCCAAAGGATCAAGGGTTTTCCATCGTGTCCTACCAATTGTTCTACCCTCACAAACATCACTAACATCCCTCGGATCGATATCAACGTTACTCGTTTCGCTGGGGGGCGGAGGCAGGGCGTAGGGGCCCTCCTTGAAAAGCACCTTACGATCCCATAGCAAGAGGCATCAAGAGGCAAACAATGAATGGGTGCTATCAGATTATCAGTTCTGCCCTGCCGCCGTTGCCCTGCCAGTCCAGCGGACCATGCTTGGCAGCATGAACCAACAGCTTCTGCAACTTCTCCATATAAGCCTGACGATCTGGGTGCGCCAAAAAAGTGGGAAGACTCTTCTGCAGGTCTCCGACGTCTCCCATCTGCACAAGACACCCATCCCGGAGCAAATCTAAGAAAAAAATGTCTTGACTTTTGAAAGTCGAACCTGATCCATGAAGGGGAGAAAGCGAGAGAGGGAAGAGAAACAGCTTGTAGCTTGTAGGTAGTGGAATGATTCTCGTCAATGTCACGAGTGGGCTCCCCAAATGATTGTTTGCATGGATCTGTGACACTACATTCCCGTATGTTCAACTCGGTTTCTGCTTCTCTTTAGGACAAAGCCTGCTGTGACTCCACTGGATTCACCTATTTTACGTGGGAATCTTCCCTGGTGCAGGAGTTTAGTATAGTACTTGTAGCCGCATGTGGCTGAATTCACAGATCTCTGATTGGGTTGATGTGGGATACCATAGGATACCCTGTTAATTAATGTCAATCAACAGCTTGCTTGCCTTCATTTTTCATACATCTTCATACCAATCAAAGTTTCTCCCAAAGACATCTCACTACCATGGAGTTGTGGGATGTCATCCCCCCTGGACCACACAAACATCGTCTAAAATCCATTGAAAGATTAGTTTTGGTTCACCACCAGCTTTATTTTTACTAATAGCTTCTGATTCTTGCTCCCTTCGTAGGGCCAGGAGCCCCGTTCGTCGCGTCCGATCGCTCTGTAACAATCGCCTTCCCCCGACCGGTTCGCACCGAGTCCCGACCGCCTTTCGGTCGAAGCCGCGGCGGCCACGCTGTTGGGCGATCTCGGTGACTTTGGTCGTGAGCTCCTGCGCGTCGCGCGGTTGGCATTTGGAGACTCTGGACGGAAGGAGGACTTTCCACGGAAGGTGGCAGCCAGGCATAGAAAAAACGACTGTTGGGACACAACTTCGTTGTTGAGACTAAGTATTGCACGTGTTTGGTCTCTGAACATTGAGATCGGTTTTAACTGCTGTTGTCAGTTTTCAGAAGGGTTCAAGTACTCCCGCCGCCGTGGGTCGGGGCTACAAGCAACGCTTCCAACGGCTTCCAAGGTGCCTCCAGCACAAAACAGGATTGTGGATTGGTTTGGTGCGGGCGAATTGGGTTGGACTGGTTCTTTTGGCTAGCTTGGTTTGGTGGGGGTCTTTCGGAGGCTTGGTTTTCGTTGCTGAATGGTTTAGGTCCAGGTTCTTATAGGCGTCAATAGGTTACGAACGCGTCAGACGCGTTCTGGTTGCGTTGGGCCAGATGGGTGGAAGCCACGGCTGGTTGGTGGTAGTTGGATGGTCGGTCAGTTAATTCATTGGTTGGTTGGTTGGTTTGTTTGCTGGTTGGATGCAAACTGTGTGAGTTGACAATGTTCCGGGTGGTGTTGTCCAAACAAGCAAACAACGTAGCGCTGGATGTTTTCAGATCAGCTGATGTTTCCTCTGATGCACTTTGCCTGTGGAAGTTGTTTGTCGAAAAGTGGTGGGGTGGAGGTGTGGGAGGTGCCAGGTGTAAGATAAACATCCAATTTCACTTGGAAGGTATAGAGACCCTCGCACTTTTGCAGGAAACCAGTCTCCCCAATGGCCCCCCTCCACTTCCATGTTAGCCGTCAGTGTATCCGTCTAGCCCATTTCGGTTGTCTTTGGATGCCAAGACACCAACTGCCGGTCACGTGTCAATAGATCTTCTTGAGAGGGTAAGCCCCTTTTCGAGCCCAGAACTTAACTCGGGAGTTTGGAGTAGGCCATCTTAGAGTCGAGATTAATGTTCGGTCCTCTAAGAAGGCTAAATTATTATACAGTAATGAAAACATGACAGAATTGAGTTCGAGTGAATCCAATGAACTCCAGTACTGCAATGTATCGAACTGAATCAAGCCTCATAGAAGAAAAACAAAACTATCCACACCCAGTACAGTTCGTGAATGTTTGGATCTAAATCCCAGCAACACATTGCTACCCTTCCCCGCACATCCTGCTTCACTCAGTCCTTGGAGGTGTACTCCTCAGGCTCATCCTTGCCTGAAGAGGCGCCACGCGCCATCGGCGTTCACTCCCGGTCTCTGGAGCGGAATACCAAAACACACCTGAATCGTTTCGGGAAGTTAGTTAATCACTTCAGCTCTCCACACAAATAATTTGTGTTGTTTCTATCAATGAAAGTCGCTTTTAACATGTTGCCATCATTTTGCGTTATCCTTTCAGTTGAAAAACATTCAATCTTCGCCGTGACCTTTGTGGGTTGTAGACAAAAACTTTCCACTTCTATTCCAACATTCCTGAATTGTATGTTGCCTCTAGTGGAATTGAAAGAGGCTAACGCTATCACCAAAACAGATCTTGTCAAATGCCCTAGCCAAGCTCTCAAGAAGAGGCCAATGTATTTGTCAACACCTTGCAAAATGACACACTCTGAACCGTGACAGCCTTTCAAAGGCAGCTTATCATAATTCTCTTCTGAATAGTGTGTCCTAAACAAGTGCTAGCATGTCTGTCTCGAGCATTCGATCAACAAACACATGTCTTTTCAAACAATTTCTTTCAACCACTCACATTATACTGATCCACCAGTTTGAGTGCCCAACGGACGCTAACCAGTTAGGATGCAAACAAAACAAACAACCACTCATTGGAGCCCGAGAAGGACCCCTCCCTCCTCGCCAAGCGAAGCTCTGCCACGCCTTTCCGCTGGTGTGCAGCGCCCTTCTGCCCCTCCTCAGCCTTGTCCTTCTTGCGCGCGCGCTTGGCTTGATCCTTCTCCTGTGGAGTCTGCGGTTTTCTGTGGTGACAAGTCACATCAGTCACATCACAACTCATTGTGCTGATGCCTATGTGACGGCATGAATCAGTTTGCATGAGACCATAAGCAGACCATCCTCAGACCAAGACCAGCATGCGAAACCCAAGAGCTGGCACCTTCAGAATCTAGATCTGCCCTCTCGAAACACCCAGTTCTCGCGCCCGGTTTCCGCAGCCCGGTTCAGTACCTTATTCTCGGCCTCCTTGGCCTTGGCGACCTCAGCCTAGGCCAACGGGAACGAAGTGAACTGGAAAGAGTAATCCCACATGACTCCCAACATCCATCAACTACACTGATACGACTGGAAACATGGATAAGCATGGCTTGTTCCGGCTTGCACAGTGGTGCTACTTGTGACCATCCTGCCGGTATAGCTCCCAGAGACCCTGAAAGTTGATTGAACATAACAACACATATAACAACTTAACAACTCCAGCTCATTGAAGAGAGGGATGTGATCGATTGCGTCTGGAAGGCAACTTCCCTCTAAAGCCAAAGGTTGAAGAAGGTTGCATGTTGTCTTCTTTTGATCATAGTGTAAGCGGACCACATGCTCCCTCTTCAGCGCAGGTGCCTTCTTTTCGCGCTCAGCCAACTTCTCAGGAGTGATGAGCCAGCGCAACATCTTCCTATCGACTCAATCGAATGGATAGTCGAAGAAGACATTGGAAAGGCACAGTTGCAAACGAAACCGATCAACAACAACACCTTCCCCTTTAAACTTTTTCACCACTGATGCATCCCGGGGTTCAAGGCAACCAAACGACCAAACAATTGCGATCCGGATGTTCAAAACACAATCCAAAACGTGGGTGACAAGCTGTGGTTCTATCTGAGGAGTTCCACCACTCTGGAAATCGACACGAAACGGGACAAGGCATGCAAACATCATCAAAGAATATCAAAGATATATGATCGAAGGTGAAACATAGTGGAACCACACCGTTTCTTTTTTCCGATGGTGATCACTGGATGCACTACCAGTAGCATGGATGCCAGTGTCACAATGGGAAAACCGTGTCGCTCCAACACAGTGACGGTTGCTTGACACACGACGGGCGACGTGACTTCGGACAGCCGAGGGACCCGAGGGATTCTCTTTTGACACGTTTGACGGAATGTTCAGAACAATGAGGGCCACCCACAGTTTTGTTGAACTTGTAGGGTTTTACTTTTGAAGTTACAGTAATCTCCGGAGTCTCTGGAGGTTGAAAGTTCTTCATTCCTCCCGCTTGGGCCACCGGTTCTCCCCCCTGTTCACAGCCTCGACCTCGATCCCCGTTTCCACCAATTCGAACAGAAACCTTCCCTTCTGTACTGCAAACATATCATACCACAGGTCTTTTTGTTTGGATTTTCGAACGGTTCAAACAAAAGGGTTCGAGCCAATTGGAGAGGCCCTCTCTCGGAACCGGCGGGGGCCTCTCTCGGACCAAATCCTCATCTCCTTCTTCGCTGCCTCGGTACCCGGCGAAGTCGCTGATGTTCAGTATAAGGGCCCTCATGGGGTGGAGGAACTCCGCTGGTTGAACGGATCATAGACTCCCTGAAATCATGGAAGTGGAGTTCTGTTTCACCTGTTTCACCTGTTTGGTTTAGAGGCAAATCATTATTTCAGATGTTTTTACTCTTGTTGTTTTTGTTCCAGGATCGACACAACTTCTGCTGGATGACGAAACAAACTCATCGAGAGGTCGCAGGAGTGAGGAATAGTGAGGATGACATCCTGTTGGGATCTTCTGGTTCACGGGAGTCGGGAGTAATTCATTACAAGCTGCGGACACTTTCCACGCGCTGTTCACCTATTCAGGGCTCTTCAAGATTTTGCATGCCCGGCCTGTCATCGTCTTTCTGCAAAGGTGGTCTATATGTATCATTTACTATGAAAACCTATGAAGAAAGAACGGGAATATAAGGGAACGTACAGTACAGAATGGGATCTATAGGTGTGTCTCAGAGTCAAGAACCCACGCGCCACTGGTATCTTGAAGGGTGTGATTGGTTAAAGTTGGTGCGGGGGTGCATACCTATCTCTTTCTGGTTCAACCAATCATACCCATCCAACATCATCCAACCCTTTGCCCGAGTTTCCTACACCCCATGTCGCTGTCGAAGCCAAAGGGCCGCTTTTGTCGCTGTCGAAGGACTCGCTGTCGCTGTCACTGCTGTCGCTGTCCCCGGTGTCGCTGCTGTCGCTGTCGGAGGAGTCGCTGTCCTTGGTGGCACGGAGCAAGATGAAGCAAGTCACGACGTCCGAGGTCGGGCTTCCAAACAGAACAAGGACATTATTGTGGTGGATTAAGGTACCGTGCGGCGTACCTATACCCTCCATGAACCACCTCTATAATCTCCCTGGATCCTTGTTTCATTTGGCTCATGAACAATCAAAACCCTCCCCAACTAAGCAACTACGTGAGTGCATAGGCACCTCATGGCACCTCTAACCCTCCATCATTGATTTATGAGACCGATGGACCTCATGATTCATGAACTTATCCGACTTATCCCCATGTATATCCATGTATATATAATGATCATGTATCATCTACAATTATGCATTGTCCAAACTGTTGTGGCGTGCTACTAGGAGCAATGTTTGCTACTAGGAACAAAGGGCATCGCTACTAGGAGCAATGTTTGCTACTAGGAACAAAGGGCATCGCTACTAGGAGCCAGGACGCTACGAACGGGGCTCCTGGCATCGCTACTGGGAGCATTCTTACTATATACTAGTAACAAGGAAACTACATGAAACTACTAGTAACATGAAGCTACTATAGGGGCTCCTGGCCCTACTACTAGGAGCAAGGACGCTACTAGAGGCTCCTGGCATCGCTACTAGATGTGGCCCAAACCGACCTCCGGAGGCTCCGACCGATCCTCCGAGCCGCTGAGGAGTCGCTGGAGTCGCTGGAGCTGCTGGAGCTGCTGGAGTCGCTGCTGGCGTCGCTGGCCGCCCCGTCGCTGGCGGCCTCGGTCGTCGCCGCGGAAAAAACAAAAACCTTTCGGTCATCTCGCGCACCAGACGAGGGGGAGGTGTGGTTCAGGGTTCAAAAGGGTTCTTCCATGTTCTTCCTGCTTCTTTCGGGAATTTCTGGGAAGCCTTAAAGTTCAAAGACCCGCTGAAGACGTTCAAAGTGGAAGGCTTCCAAAGCCTCTCAATGGGAAGACCCTCACCCAGCAAAATCTGCAGTATTTAACTTTCGATGAGACTGTCCAAGGAGTTGCCAGGCACCGGGGTCTGACTACCACATTAATTTGTTTCCAGCCTCTTTTTGTCTCTTTGCCGTTCATAATATGTGCGTGGCAAGTGAAGCCCTATACAATCCTATACAGGTTCCTCAGGTTTGCAAGCAACCTTGTCTGTTAGTGCTCATAACAGGTTGCTTGATGTTGCTTTGCGGTTCTTCGCCTCGAACTTGCGGTTTCTCTTCTCCCGGCTCCTCGCCTCGCTGGCGCTGTCCATCTGCTCTTCCTCGGACTGGAAATCCTCTGGATTCGCTCTCAACCTCGGCCCAACGGTGGCCGAACTTGCACGGTGCCCAAGGTGCCCTTGGGCACCCAAACAATTAGATTTGGACCCGAGACTTGTGTCTATCCCAAAGAGACCACGCAAACTAAATGCACCTTAGCTTCAAAGACCTTCAAAGCTCAGTGTTGTGAGATGTGTTGAGTGAAGTATTCTCTAAACTACCCATTGGTGCCCATTAGCAGGATATGGCCATGATAACAAAACCCAGCGGGAAGTGGAAAGGTATTGAGTGATCAGGTGTAAGCTGGTCCCTCAACACAACCTCCCATCGCCTGAGGCAAGTCCCGATTCGTTCGTCACTGATGACAATGAAGCCGTGGAGGTGAACACACGTGTTGTTGGTCTTTTTTGACAGTGAACATCGGTCTTTGTGCCTTTGTGCCTTTGTGCCTGTGCAAGAAATCAGCAAGGATGCAACCCAGCAGCTTCAACTTTCCTGGTTACAAAGTGGGGCCAGTTAAACATGCTGTGAGCTCACAAAGCACTTCTAGGAAAGCTGATTGGTGGACACCCAACCTTCCTGAGACACCCAAGTCTTTCCCACATATTGTCAAAGCCACTGAGAAAGGTCATCTTGGTAGTTTTTGTTGCCCTTCTTCACCTGCCGAAAAGGCTCGGGCATGTTTGCCATGGTTGTAGCGAGCTTCCCCAAGAGACTGAGGACATGAAAACAACCAAATATATAACCAAATGCAAAAATCACGGCACGCAGCAAGAGCATGAACATGCAATGCAGGAGATCAAGCACAAAGACTCCGAATTTGAAAGTACATGGCATGGCTCCTGTAGAGGTTTTTCAGAAGTCAGGTAACAGGTAACTTTCTTCTGCAAGACACGAGCTGACTGCGGTGAGAGGCAAGAGCTGGGTTTGATGCTGAATCGTCCACAGGAAGCACTCAATGGATAGAAGATTAGTCCATCAAATGACGTGGCACTGGTCCCCCAAAAACTCACAGACCAAGAATACTCAGCGTGTTCCATACGTTTTCTCTTCTTCAGCACGGTTCCAGCTCACGAGGTCCCACACCAATGCATTTCTGGGGGAAGGGGGTGGTCTTCTGACCTACCTTGCGGTGTCTGTCAATGAACTCATGGTTCACCTACTGGTTCACCTACCCACCAAGGAGCAAGGATTGCACTGTGAACAACGCCGGTGTCTCTGAACACTTCCAAGACAAGTTTTGTATGACTGGCCTGCAGAAGAGCATGATTGCTTCTTGATTGAGACACTGTGATTCCAAGCGTAACTCAACAGCAACAAAATGAGCCAACCTGTTCAACAAAACATCTCAAGTGTCAGGGGACAAGTACGATGGACAATGACTTCACTGGTCTTGAGATGTCGGGGGTGCATCTGCAAGCGTTTTCGGGAGCATGTCTTCTTTCAACACGAGGAACCACCAGTTATACTTAAAGTCCAAGACCAACGACGCGGCGTGTGGCGATTGTTGTGCCTTGGATCGAAGGGTGTTGAAGGCTTTGGCCTTGTTCTCCGGCAGCTTCTCCCCCTGGCTCCGGCGAAGCTTCGAAGCCGGGAAGGAGAAGTGATCCCGACTGGCCCGCACCTAGGGACACAGTGGTGAAGTTAGCGAAATGATGCCTGGTAATCCTTGAGAATCACTGACACCATCAGGAAAAGGAGGAACATGGAGGAACTGTCAAGAAGCTGGTGGAAAGGCCTTTCTGCAGTTCGATCTTTTGATACTAGTGGACTAGTGGCTGATGGTTTTCTTTGTCGGTGAACGTTCAGAGTGACATTGCTACTATACACCCCCGCATGACAATACGAATTGTAAGGCGCCTGCTAAACGGGATCTGATAAGTCAAGACTGCGCAAAAATGGGCTGACATAACTCACTTGTCACCCAGTTTCCTGATTCGACGTGCAGGTCAAGAGAATCACCAACACTTCACCGGCCTTGCTTTTCTTCTCCTGGATCTTTTCGTGGGTCTTCCTCAATTCAGCTCCGCAGATTGAAAAAAACATGCGTCCATCGTTCCTCCCGGGCCACTCTGGCCAACCAACCAAAACCTACTCTTCAAATTGATTGATTCTGCCCTTCACCGTGAGCTGCATTCCACTTATATTTGTGTTTTCTTCACCTGCATCACCTGCATCACGTTCGTTTACGTCGACAAGCCCGCGGGCTTGTTTAGCGCGTTCGTGTCTCTGAGTCCCTCGGTTCGGAACTGCCAAGGGTCTCCACATAGTCTTCTAAGGCCGCGATGGCCTTGACAAACTGCTTTGGAGGTCCACCGTCTGCCTCAACCTGTGGTCGACTCGTTCTGAAGAACTCTCAAGCTCCCATGGGTGGAATGGTCTTTAGACGTGGGTGGTTGAATGGTTGAGTTGAATGATGTTGAAGTGTGCTTTTCCCTCATGGTGGAAACCAAAAGAGTTGGCAACAGGTTGTCTACCAGTTGTCACTTGTAATTTGATGTCCATCTTTTCTTGAGAGGTTTGACTGGTGGGTTGTATATACGAACATTTCTACCGTCATTACTTACTGCAGTACGAGTGCAATAGCCGGTTAGATCCGGAAAGCAAACGTGTTTTGGTGGGAGCTCCAAACCGCCGCCCGGTAACCCATGTATTGCATGCTGAACCACCCCAGCAAGTCTGTTACATTGACATCCAGCCACGTCCAGCCATACTCCGTGTCATTCAACTTCACTGGGGTCGAGCCAGTCATGGAGTCCGCATCTGGTCTCATTCGGTTGCAGAGAGGGGATCAATTCGGCTCCTCGGACCCTGTTGGTTTCAACGGACACATGGAGAAAATGAACAACGCAAACCTGAAACACTCAAATCGTCTCAATCATTGCTTGATGGTCACCTGAGGGGGACCGGATACCAAAAACTATAATGATCCTGGCACATGGGACTTCGAGGTCTCTGCGGTCCAGCGTCAATTCAAGACAGTGGATGGGGAAACTCATCCTTTAGTCAGTTGTTGTATGCCTTTGTGCCTTATGCAACACATCCATGTACAGAAATCCCTCCATTAGAATTCTTCTGCAGCTACTCACTTGTTTGCCGCCGACACTCCAAGCCAGGACAGTTCCCATACACCCCTGAGTTTCCAGGGGTTAATTCGCAGCCCCGCGTCGTCATGTCGGGTGTGCAGTTCGTCGAGGCACCTGCTTAAAAGGACCAATGCCTGGCCTTCAGTCTATAAGTATATATATATAGTGTCAATTGTCGATATACAACAGATATATAAACATGCATGGGCGGGTCAAAACTCTGTGTTTTGCATTCCACAACTCAATCTGTGAACCATGATAGGAAAAGCGAACGAGAACCTGAAAAAAGAACCAACAGCAGAACGGAAAATACAGGCTGCAAAGGCAGCAAAGGCTCGGAGGGGGATCAAAATGCCAACATTTTGGATCTGGACCTATAGGACCCCATCGCGTGATATATGTCAGTTAAGATGCCTTGGCATGAATGACCAATGTTCCCAGGGGGTGGCGACCCATTTTGACCCCGTGCCACAGTCATGCACCCTTTGGCAAACCAAACATGAAGATTGAGTTTCATTTCATCAGCCGTATTCAGGGTCGCCCCAAGCTACCCAACCAAATGGTGGAAAACACATACACATTTGTGTGCCCCACCTGAGAGCCATCTACGTACCTGTTCAAGCTTGTGTGGCCACCGTGGTATTGGTGCCTTTCCCTGCATTGGTGCGGGCATCACGTAAAGTAGCCAATTTGGCACAAGCGGCTACGCGACAACACTGTGGGAGTGGGTAGCCAGCCCATCAAAGGCGTTCTACCATTTAAGCTCCCACGTGATTCCAGATCTGTTTTGCTGACGCATGTTCCAAGCCAATCTCCATCTGTCAAATAACAATCGTTTCTACCGATACAGCACATGCTCAAGCATCAGTTCAATAGAACAAGGCACGCGCACACTGGCTCAGGTTGCATCACAACAGTTATCACCTGGCGAGTTTGCAGCCTTGGTGGCTGTCTTCATTATGCACAGGCACTACATGCGAAGCAGGCTTCCATGGGCTTACCACCCTCAGGCTCCTCAGGTCTCATTGATCTCAGGAGCTGTGCCTGGCGCATCTCCTGTGCCCGCTCATCGTTGTTGTCCCGGATCTTCGTGAGGCCCGTGTACAAACCGCCCAAGACCGGGGGGCCCAGCAAGGCGCCTGACATGGTGAGAGGATTATGCAAGAAGAGCGAGGCTTGGGCAACCCTGGCCTTTAGACAAGGCCGCCAACATTGTTTCATGAAGCGGTGAACTTGAACTTCTACAGGAATTTACTTGATTGAAGTTTTTGTCGAACTTAGGATCATGGTAGTCTCTGGGTCTGTCATAGTTGGGTGACACACCAACCTGTTGATCATGAATTTTCATGGTGGCAACTGTTCCAACAGCAAATTCCCCAATGATGGGTTGTTTTTTCCCTGTGTTTCCGTCTTCTCTGCAACTGCCAGCATTTTTTGTTAGGGAAACTAGTTGATGGCTACCTGGTCCTACTGATATGACGCAGCGCGGAGTGCTCTGTTGAACCATCCGGCGCCTGCGCCGACCAGCAAACCTGTGATCATGGGATGGTGCCAATCGAGCTGGGCATAGATGGGGCACTCGCTCCTCAGAGGAAGAACTTACCAAGTCATTCCCATGCTACAGCAACCGTTTCATCCCACATGTGATAGGGATGAAACAAAATCATTATAAATCATGTATAAATATATAACATATAAATATATATACGTATCATATATGTGCACGTTTGTGTTCCTGAGTCGAGGCTGAAATTATCCCATGACCTCTTTTGGCCTGCTAATTGTTTTGTATATGACTGGGTGCACTCGCCCACCACTTGGCCGTCAATCCATCTTTTCTGACCACATAGAAGTGGGCTAAACAATCACCAGGAGAAAAAACCCGCAAAGGATGAGAGCATTACCACAACATCGTGATGGTATTACAATGGTTTCACCTGTTGCTCACCAAATACTTGTTGTGCGAGACACCTTTCAAGGATGGCTATATGTTTGACCCCGCTTGTCCTTTACGGTGAACAAAAACAAGGGACTAACGACTCAAGTATTGCCTGTCAAGTAGTGACTGTCCCTCTTTCCTCCAAGCATTCCAGGCTTCAATGGCCGGCCACAGGGCGCCGAATCGTCCGTGCCAATCCTGGGAAGGCTGGCAGACCGCCCCAAAGACCCATTAGAGCAGTCATACGAGGGCAGGGGATCAAAAACAAAGAAGGATCAATGAAAAACAAACCAAAGCATTTGAACATCAAAGAAAACAGCTGGGCATCAACAAAGCACATCAAAGAACAACATCTAGTGTGGAAATGAATCCAGCACTGGCAGCAAACATCATAGCGCTCTTTTCTTGAGCCAATCGCGAGAGCGAAAGTCGGGTGCAGTCTCCTCAAGCTGGTCAGGTCCATGAGCAATCCGGGTCAGTGCATGACATGTTCCTGGTTTCACCTTCGTTTTCACATTCGTCTTTCTTCTGACCTCGATCGCTCTTGGACCCTTGCAGCTCGATCTTCAAGGAAAGGCCGTTCATGGCCGCTCGGACGTCGCTTGCGTCCATGTGCTTCGTGAGGGCGTCGGCCAGCATCGTCTTCGTGCTGATCCACAGCACTCGGGTGCTGCCGTCTTGCGGCGGCTGGTCGCTGAACAGCGGGTCGCCCACTTCCTCATGGCGTCGACGCCAGATCATCTGGCGCATTCCGCAAAGGTCTATTGCGAGCCTCTTGTCGTTCACCTCTCCGAGCCCCTGTTGCGTCAAGTGGTCGGACAGACTGCGACAGTCTGTCAGCTTGATCAGATCTGTCCCGTCCTGGGCTCTCATCCTCCAGTTGGGATCACCTTGGTCGTGGCCATGATGTAGTCCATCCAGGATCATCCTCAGGTGCTCCCCGTCCTCATAGCCAGCCAGCATACTCAGACTCTCAGCCTGAAGTGTGCTTCGACACACCCGTCGAATCACGGAGCTTTTCCATTCCAAGATGTGGATCGGGCCTCCACTCTTGTCGATGAAGTCTGGCCCACAGAAAGCCAGAATCCTCCCAGATTGGGAGCGAAAGCCAAGGCGCTGTCCAGTCGACGAGAGGTCATAGTCGTTGGCGTGGCTCGCGTCGGTGATGGAGAGGATCTTGAGCTCTTCAAACTTGAAGGGGCGCCACACGTAGGTCAGCCGCTGATCCTTGCTGAGCATCGCCCTCCTGAGCAGTGAGTTACAGTCCACCAAATCTTGGACACAGGGCTTCTGGACACAGCTTTGTAGTCGGCTGGTGTTGTAGGCCAGATCGGGCCGGTTGACACGCACAATCCAGTTCAAGGAGCCAAGAACACTCCTCATCTGAGATTGCTCCTTGTGGGTGGCTTCTCCTCCTCGGTTGGCCTTCCTGGCTGTTGACAGGGCAATTGGTGTAGTCCTTTCAAGACCATGCGGGCATGTGACATGGATGCCCTCGTCGTCCTGTGAAATCATTCTGCCACAGAACTTGAAGGTGGTGTCGGCGGTACGGCCAAACTTCAGCTTCTTCTGGACGTTGTCCATGGCTTGCTGGGTGAGGTCTCCTCCACACCAGAGTAGGTCGTCCACATGACTGATCACCAGTCCATCCACAGAGCCATCCGGCTTGTTCATCACATAGGCGGCATTCCCATGTGGAATGGGACGTAGTCCAAACTCCTTCATGGTGTTGTGGAGGCTCTTCCAAAATCCTCGTGGAGCATCCTTGGTGCCATAGACAGGCTTCCGTGCCACAAGCAGTGATCCGGGCGCCACTCCTGGTACACCATCCAGTGTTAGCTCATGATGAGCATTCTGGAAAGTCCAAGCCCTTGTAAGAACGCCGCAGTGATGTCTCCACTGTGTAGGCGTAGACCATTGCAGCTGGCGAAGGAAAGAACCATGCTCAGCATCAAGTGCGATGCTGTGGGTGAGTCAGTGCGAACTCCTCCTTGATGTGCCTGGTTTCAAGATCTCCACGAACAACCAGGCGGCTCTTCAGCTGTTCTTCTTCTCCTTCATCCGCCTTGTTGACATCTACCCATCGCATGGGTACCACTTGTGCTCGAGGATGTTTCTTGCGGAATCGCTCAGCATCTTGAGGTGGGATCACCTCACAAGCATCGAAGTTGGTCCAGTTGGTCCACTCTTTGTGCCTGGTTTGATCAAGCTTCGCCTGCATCTCTGGTGAGGCTCTGGAGTAGTTGATCTCCTTGCTGCCGGCACTCTTCTTCTTGTAGTTGGTGCGCCGGGCCAAGAATCCTC